GGGGTGGCGCCGCAACCTCCCCATCGACCCTGCCTTGAGTGTGACAGGGGGCGGTGCCCCAACCCCCCAATCGGCCCCACCCTGAGCGTTACTGAGGGTGGCATCGCAACCTCCCGATCCGCCCTGCTCTGTGCATGACAGGGGGCGGCGCCCCAACTCCCCAATCAGCCCTGCTCTGAGCCCGACCAGGGGCTGCACCTAGGGACTGGGCCTGTCCTCTGCCACCCGGGAGCAGGCCTAAGCCAGCAGGTCATTATCTCCCGAGGGGTCCCAGACTGCGAGAGGGCACAGGCCGGGCTGAGGAACGCCCCCCTCCCCCCCGAGTGCACAAATTTTTGTGCACCGGGCCGTCTAGTAGAATATAAAAATATTTAAATCATTCTCTTAAAATTATTTCTAAAACATCTTTATATTCCTCATGATGAACAGAAAGTAGGAAGGCATATCTAAGCAAGCATAGGGCACTAGTTCATAATTCTTACTTCTTTTGATTCCTTTGACTTGACTCGGTCCAGATCACCCAATCTCATCTTTATAAGGTGCCCTGTAATTTCAGACATCCGTCGCTGATCTGAAGGTAAAAAATAATAAACCTTACTTTTTATAAGGGTCATTTATAACTTTTATTTCTTAAAAAAGATTGCAATCATCAAGTGTTTATGAAAATGTTTTACAGACTATCTACAGCCTAATTATCATTGAAGAATTTTAGACTACAAGTAGAAAAATGGCTCATACATGGATAATTTTCATGCTTTTAAGATTACTGTAAATCAGCCTAAACCATATTCTGTCATCTTTAGAGTGAAAGTAGTGAGCAAAAGTCAGTCTGAGAGACCTTAAAACCATACACGTGCATAAAATAGAGGGCAGTCTAGTAATGAAACTCTGGTTGATGTCTAAGGAATGTTTTAATTCTGAGCCTTATTCCAGTTGAAACCTTTAAAGCTATTCAGCATACTTCATAACATAAAAGATTCCTATTATTGTTATTTATACCTAACTTGCATATTACACAAGTAATAAAACTTACCATCTTCTCTTTGTGCATCCTGGTTGAATCTCAAGGATCTTGTGACATCCCACTTATTCTTCTGCATACTCACACTAGTGAAAAGTTAAACCAAAGTCAGCGCTGGTGCTTTCAGAGTGAATATCTGACTGGATTCAGGAGCAATACTCACAGGAAAGGGGACACATCTCTAGAAGTTGACTAAAAAAAAAGTAGACAACAGTAAGGCCCAATTAGAACATATTGACTGATTAGTGCTATAGTTAATAATAAAAGTTTATATTTAATGAGTGCAAAATACTGTACTAAGAGCATTACAAGTATTTCATTTAAGCCTTACAACAACCATGTGAGACAGATGTTATTATTATCCTATATAATAAAAGCCTAGGTGGCATCGCGCGACGTCATCACAAGATGGCCACCGCAATGTTGTCACAAGATGGCTGCCAGAAGATGGTCACCACAGGATGGTTGGCAGGGGAGGGCAGTTGTGGGCGACCAGGCCTGCAGGGGAGGGCAGTTGGGGGCCATCAGGCCAGCAGGGGAGGGCAGTTGGGTGTGACCAGGCAGGCAGGGGAGGGCAGTTGGGGGCCATCAGGCCAGCAGGGGAGGGCAGTTGGGGGCAAGATCAGGCCTGCAGGGGAGGGCAGTTGGGGGCGAGATCAGGCCAGCAGCAGAGGGCATTTGGGGGCAAGATCAGGCCAGCGGGGGGTGACCAGGCCTGTAGGGCAGGGCAGTTGGGGATGATCAGGCCGGCAGGGGAGGGCAGTTGGGGGCGATCGGGCTGGCAAGGGAGCGGTTAGGGGCCGATCAGGCAGGCAGGCAGGCAGGCAAGTGGTTACAAGCCAGCAGTCCTGGATTGTGAGAGGGATGTCCGACTCCCGGTTTAGGCCCGATCCCACAGAGATCGGCAGTCAGACATCCCCCAAGGGGTCCCAGATTGGAGAGGGTGCAGGCCAGGCTGAGGCTCATCCCCCCACCCCATGCACAAATTTCATGCACCAGGCCTCTAGTCTCTATAATAAAACAGGTTTATAAAAATTAAGAATCGTATCCAAAGAGAAACAAACCTGGAATTTGAACCCAGCTTTATTTGTTTGATCTGGAAGCCCCAGCTTATGCAATCTTTTATAATTCACCCATTTATGTGCCTATAGTACTTAGCACGAAGATGAATGTACAACCTACCCAATGCAATTGTGTGGTACTTGTCTCAACCCCAGCTTTCACACATTTTGGAATCCAGGCCTTTTCTTTTAGCCAACTGTGGTTTATACTGTCCTCTTATTCCCACCTGGCTTTTCACCCCTTTCTTTGATGACATGGGGAAATAAGAATTATTTTAAAATAACGTAAAATACATGACGGGGCAAACGTAGATATACAGTTGCTTGTATGGGAAACAATACAATTAATAAATAATAATACAAGAATAAACTCTGTGCTTCAGGTACTCACAACTATAAACCTATGTTTGCCCCATCCTCTATAATTTATTAAAAAATTTTTTTTTTTTTGGCTGAAACCGGTTTGGCTCAGTGGATAGAGCGTCGGCCTGCGGACTGAAGGGTCCTGGGATCGATTCCGGTCAGGGGCATGTACCTGGGTTGCGGGCACATCCCCAGTGGGAGATGTGCAGGAGGCAGCTGATCAATGTTTCTCTCTCATCGATGTTTCTAGCTCTCTATCTCTCTCCCTTCCTCTCTGTAAAAAATCAATAAGGTATATTTAAAAAAAAAAAAAATTTTTTTTGTAGTTAACATTACATTTATTTCCCTTTTTAAAGAACAACAAGGTGGTCATAGTTACATAACATTTTTCTTTTTTAATTCTTTATTGTTAAAAGTGTTACATATGTCTCCTTTTACCACCCCCCCATTGACCTCTCCCAGCCGTTCTCACCTCACAGCACATGCCCTCACCTTCCTAGTGTCTGTGTTCATTGGTTATGCTTATATGTGTGTATACAAGTCCTTTGGTTGATCTCTTACTTCCCCCTCCCAACCTCCCTGCCTTCCCTCTGAGGTTTGTTGGTCTGTTTGATGTTTCTGTGTCTCTGGATCTATTTTTGTTATCAGTTTATGTTGCTCATCATATTCCACAAATGAGATCATGTGATATTTATCCTTTTCTGACTAGCTTATTTCGTTTAGCATAATGCTCTCCAGGTCCATCCGTGCTATTGCAAATGGTAAGAGTATTCCATTTTGTAGCCGTACCACAGTTTTTTAATCCACTCATCTGCTGATGGGCATTTAAAATCTATTTATTTTATTTTTTTTAAAGTCTATTTATTTTATTTTTTGAATAATATTGGTTCAAAATTCAAAAGTTACAAACAGCACACATGGTAAAAAGCCTCTACCCCCAGACATTCAGTTCCACTCCTTAGAGGCAACCAATCTTATCAAGTACTTATGT